TATTTCACGATCCTCAGTTACTAGTGCTATTAATATAACTAAGACGTCAATATCTTCTGAAACTATAGCAACATTTTTTTTTTCTAAATTAATTGCTGTGTGAACAATTAATGTGTCTGCATCGCTTTCAGTTGGCATGTAAAAATGTTGTTGTCAGCTAATGTAATTCTCAACATTTCTATCAAACGGCTTTTATTTTTGTTATTTGACAAAAATTTATCTTGAGCTATTTTCAAAGATATATTTTCATCGAATTCAATATCTGCACATTTATTTTTTAATGCACGATGATTCCTTTCGGCTGACTTAATACTGTCTTTCTTATACCCATCAAATACTACGTAAGTGTTACTATTATAATTATTCTTTAGATATCTTACATAAAGGTCACATATTATTTTAAAAGTTTCATTCAATTGCCATTTGCAACGATATAACAACATGCCTCCATCAATAACGTAATGAATATTTTGTAAACTTTTCAAATCAATTGAAATTTCCGAGAATAACTCGTAAAAAGTTGATTTTTTTGTCTTTCGTAGTTCTCCATCTTCAAATAGAGCAAGCGGATATGGTGCCAATTCATAATTCAAATAATCTTTAAGCTCTTCATCGGTTTTTTTTAAAACACAGATCCGTTGAAATAGCAGTAATGGATCAACAGGAATCATATCATTATGAATTTTAATTTTGTTATTTTTCGCCAACAAGGGATTTATTTTATCTTTCCTTGATAATTTCAAATCGCGTAAATTTTTTCCCTCTGTTTTCTTCATTACCTTCAACCCTTCTTCAAAAGCATCGTAACAATTTATATCTTTATCTCCAGTAATTCCGGTAGCAATAGATATAATAGCATCTGTATCAGGAAAAGGGCTGTGTTGTTTGAAGAAGTCCACCAATATTTTCACATCAACATCATCCCTTTCTATTCTAGCATCTGTCGAATCACTATGTTGATGACTTTTATTGAAAGATATATCACAAAAATTTTCTATGCCTACAATTTCCGTTCCGAAATGTACAGAAGATCCACACAAGTTTCACTGTTAGATATGTGCACAACATGCGCAGAACACGTGTCATTTATAACTGAACTGAACCCAGAAATATGTGCAGCTATCGTTGCCGCTCGTCCCTCTCCACGTTCTACTACCTGTTCGAGGTCTCCATGACCCTTACTATACTCAAGAAACCCTACCGGGTGTTCTATATATATATATCTAGGTAAAATGTAACGTGTACATAAAAAAATTATTTAAAATACAACTATATGCTCAAACATGAATTTTTATTGCTTTTTTTTGTTTAAATAATTAACAAATCAAAAGCACAACAAAATTTTTGGTAAACTTTGATCTTTATATTATTACAAACAAAACCCCACTTCGACCATATAAATTCATTCACTCTTAGAGAATTCCGAGGTCAAAACCCCCAGGCGCTCCACTAACTACAAATCGGAATAGCGGTAATGCTTCATAGGAAATTCGCTTTCAAGAAAATTATAGATATACTGAATCACTTGGGGGTGTGCTGCTCGTACGCCGAAGCTTGCCACTACCAAGATTGCACGACTCTCAATTGTCAATTGCGATTTAAACCTGAAACATTTTGTCAGTTCGTTTTCGATAACGCAGATTTCAATACAAACACGATAGACGGAGCAAATACTTTTCACAGTATGGGTGGCATTCGAGTAATAACACCAGCCAATTCTGTGGAGAAACGTGAACGCGTTCAATGACGTAAATCTCGCGTTAAAGCATCGGAACTCACAGAGATCGCGAAAATTCCTTTTCTTACTTTCGACAATTCGAGTGGGGGGAATTATGAACAACTGGTTGTTGGAGATGTCTCGACCCGATGTACATACAAATATTATCTCCAACGCTGATTTTATGTAGATTCTCGGTAAATTCTCGTTGCCTGAAAAAATTCCTAGGTGGAACGATTTTATGGGTAAATTGACAGAAAAGTTACCTTTCACTGTGAGCAGGATTTGCCCGCTCACCATTCGTCAATTACCCACCAAGCGATGTAAATACTATTTTTACAGTCCTTAAACATGCTGCTACTTTGTCTCGGTCTCTGAGCATGCATAAACTATTTGTCACGTTTGATCTGCCTTTGTATCAGAAGGCAGTCCAAATCGTTCATTCATGTCACAATGACAATACTTTGAACACTATTATGCCTCGTCTTGGCGGATTTCATCTTCTGATGTCGTATTTCGGTGCTGTTGGTTTCATAATGGCGGGCACGGGTTTGAATGAAATTTTTAGTCTCTGTTATGCCAAAAACTCGGTTGATAAAATGCTAGCAGGTCACGCTTACGCAAGAGCCATACGAGCACACACTCTAGTGTACTTGGCTTTGTGTCATAAAATTATGGCAGAAATTGATCTGTCTGACATTGAAAAACAAAAAATGACAGACTACTTTCTATGTTTCACGGAAAATCCTCCTGATTACGCAAGAATCGACGATTCTGCCGTTTTCACGACAGCAAATTCGAAATTCACGTCAAAAATGGAAGAAATTGAGAAACGAGGAAAAACAGCGAAATTGTGGATCCAGTACGTACGGATGGTAGGAATAGCGAAAAGTTTCATTCGTTCGGAAAAAATGGGGGACCTGAGATTGCAGTTGATCTTAATTGAAAAAATGTTGCCATTTTTTCATGCATCGGGACACCTCCATTACGCTAAAGCGGCCCACTATTATGTCCAGGATATGCGAGCATATATCCAACAAATGGACAACATGTCTTTGTCTTCAGGAAGTGAGCATACCGCTGAAGTAGAAGAGTACAAGAAGTTCATCGATCGTGGCTTTTGTACTGTCAGGGGAACGGCTAAATTTTGGTCTGGCAACTTTACTGATTGAGCAAGATCTCATGAGGTTAATAAAAGTTACTGGAGGCATTATCGACCGCGGATTCAATTCCGTTATCAGTAACCAATTTATTTCCCGAATTCCTGTTACCTACGACATTTGCGAAAGTATTGAGGAATTTTGCAGTGTCAAATTCGTGACATCCAACCAACACGTCGACGCAAGAGATGCACGAATTGTTCGGGATAATGACGATCTGAAGAAATTCTCCGAATTTTTTGACTGCCACGAACCATTTCCGTTCGATGAGACCATCAGGTCGATTGTTACGGGAGTTATTGGAGGCGATTCTATAAATTGCTTCCAAGCACGTGAAATTGGCGAGGCTAGTTTGAAAAAAATAGTTGGTACCCCTTTCCACAAATTGTCCCTCAAACGTCGAGATCGCGTAGTCCCGCTAATTACCGTAAATAGCAAGGTGAGAATTCAAGACGATGTGATACCACTCGATCCGATGCTCCTCTTCCAAAGAATCTGTATCACAAAGCAAAACGAAGAGGAGCTGAAAGAACATTTCAAATGGGAACTTTCTCCCTACCCCTTGTCACTATTCTTGGATGGTGCCTTGAGGAAAACCGTGAAATCGTCCATCTTCGATTTGTTCACGCCTGAAGAAATCCAACTCCCCACAGAAAATTGTTCGTTCGTGATTGACGGTGGTATGCTCCTCCAGGGTAGTATGGCATCAGAATGACAAATACTCCGAAATACTTCTGAAGTATGTAAACTATATACAAACACATTTTGGCGAAAAATGTACAATTGTTTTTGACGGCTACGAGAATAATTGCAGTAGTATTAAGGGTTTGGAGCGCCTTCGTAGGTCGAACAAAAATTCATGCTCCGATATTCATTTTGATTTGACCATGAACGTCACCGTCACACAGGACAAATTTCTGTCGAATTCGCACAACAAGACTAGGTTAATTGGACTTTTGAAGACCGCCTTGTTGGGAGCAAATTTCGCAGTTGAACAGGCTCGTAATGACGCGGATGTTCTAATTGTTAACACTGCGCTAACAGCTCGTCATTCACCAGCTGTAATAGTGTCCGAGGACGTTGACGTTCTGACCCTTGCAGTAGGCCTCACTCCACCGGAGAAAAAAATTTATTTCCTAAAATTGGGTAAGGGAAATAAACGCCAAACGGTATATTCCACGAACAGCTTAGACAAATATCCCTTCTGTCGAAACAACATTTTGTTTTTACATGCTTTTTCAGGGTGCGATACAACCTCC